CCTCTGAACCACTAACTTAGACACCAATTTGTACAAGACCGGGCAAAGAGAGATGGGTCTAAACTCCTTGATATGGGAAGGGCTTTGAACTTTTGGAATAAGTACAAGCAAACTAGAGTTTATCGTTTTGATCAAATCAGGATTCCTCCACACCTCATGCACAAAACTAACCACCTGATTCTTCAAAGTATCCCAATTACGTTGGAAAAATAAAGCAGGGAATCCATCCACCCCTGGTGCCTTAAGGGGTTGCATGTCAAAAATACACATTCTGATGTCCTCACCACTTGGCATTCTAGCCATATCAGATATATCATTAACCGGCAGAGCAGGCCACATATTTGAAGATTCCAACCACCTCCTATTAACCACATCTTCAGTAAACAGGGTGACATAAAAGGCAAGAATCATTCTCTTAAGGACCTTCACATCAGATATCCAGACATTAGCATCATTCTTAAGCCTGGTTATCCTGTTGCAGTTTCTTCTAATCACAGTATTAAGATGATAAAATTGGGTATTACGATCACCATCCTCTAACCACTTTTGTCTTGATTTCTGAAACCACAAGAGCTCCTCATCCGCTAACACTCCTTGCAACTGCCGCTGTAATTCAGCTTCAATTCTTTTCAGATGACTAGAATCCCTATTAACCAATTGATTCTGGATATGAGAAATCTTCCTCAAGATCTTTTCTTTTTTCAAGTTGATGTCACCAAAGACCTTTCTATTCCATCTTCTAATACTGGGAATAAACCTTTGAAGCATGTAAGGCATATCAAAGCTGGTATCCCAATGAGCCTGCAATAGATTTGGGAAATTAGTATGATCCTACCAAGCTGCCAGAAACCTAAATGGCTTCTTACCCCCCAGAGAGACACTAGTTTCCAAGTTGACCCATAATGGATTATGATCCGACAGAACTCTAGGAAGATGACAAACCTGAGCATTATCAAACATAATCCTCCACTGAGAATTCGCAACCACTCTATCAAGCCTTTTATAAACCCTACGATGGTTGATCCATTTTGGCCCCTGCCATGTGAAGGGAGATCCAGTGAACTCCAGACTACAAAGGTTGCAATCATCCAAAATAGCAGCAAAAAATTCACATTTCGAAGGGGTAGGGGGAGAGCCTCCAGATTTCTCCACTATGCTAGCAATTTCATTGAAATCACCCCCCACTAACCAAGGTTCATTGATAGTTCTGCTAATATTTAGTAAACTATCCCACAAATGACTTATTTCTGATTCCCTTGGACTTGCATACACAGCTGCACACAGGAAAGATCTATTACATTTCATAGTGATATTCAAATGAATCATCTGACTATTTTGATCTTTGATCTCCACATGACCCCAAGTAGAAGACCAAACCAACCAAATTCCTCCTGAAAAACCATTAGCTTCTTCGACCCAATATTTATCAAATTTAAGCTTTTTCATCAGAGCAACACATGTACTACTGTCCGTTCTTGGTTCAAGCAAGACAACAAATTTCAATCTATGCTTATTAACTAAAGATTTAAGGGTACGACCCATATCTCTTTTGGCAGCCCCTCTACAGTTCCAAAATAGAACAGTCATTAAAAACCAACATTTGAATTAGCAGGGTTTAGGAGTACCTGCTTCTCTAGAATGTTCCTCTCACCAGACAAAGTCCTATTATCATAATCCTGAACACCGAGTTGTAAACCACTAGTATCTCGTGCTATCCCTCCTTGGTCTGGCGGTTTGGGTTCCAAAGAGACTTCCACATCCGCCATTTGATGATCATTAAAGGGAAGCAGTATCACTGCTTCCTTTGGACCCTTGCTTTGGATTGAAGGCTGCTCTTCTATAATGTCACCAATATCTATCACCATCTTTTCTGTCGGATCACCCCTAGCACGACCTTGCTTAACTTCTTTTGATTTAACTTTGGCATCCAGGATAGCCACATTGTCCACAATTTCCACCTTGTTATAAGCATCTGTTTCCTTTATGGTGTCCCAAACTACCTTGTAGGCATGAGATGTCTCCACCAATTTAGAATTACTCTTCTGATTTCGCTTTTCCTTTAAATGACAATTCACATCCTGATTCTTCTCCTGGTGCATTTGGGTTTCAGCCACCACCTCAATGTTTGCCATATCCCCTGCCTCAGTTTCCAAGTTCCTTAAAACACCAAATTGAGAATTCTTAGCAATAGGTTCCTTTTGCTTCAACACCTCCTTGCCTTTGGTATCCCCTGCCTTATTAGACCCATCCGCTTAGAACCCCTATATTTATTGGCAAGCATCCAAGGTCCATATCTTACATCCTCCTTTACAGTATGAGTCCCTTCTTCCCTCTGATCTGAGCTTGGTCCCTCGACATCACAAGTCTCATTAGTCCCTTCCTTTGCTGGAGCTTTGCTTTTCTTTGGACAATTGTCAGCTCTATGGCCATATTGTCCACAAGAATAACAAACAATATGTAAGTCCTCATACTCAATGCGTTTCAGCTTGCCTTCTACTTTATATTCTGAACTCCACACAAACCCTAGCAAATCTCCCCCTTGCCAGAGATGTAGTTGCAGCATCAAGCCTAATGAATTTCTCAATCCAGTTTCCAATACTTTTTACAAGATCAGTATTTACATACTCAATTGGGAACTGCGGTAGCCGAACCCAAGCCATAATCCTATTCATAGCTGCTTGATTAGGCTCAAAATCTGGTTCCCATGATCGGATTGCTAAGTAATGATCCATAATAACCCATGGCCCAGCTGTTAGTGCAAAATCCATATCCTTCTTCTCAGAAAAACGCACAAGAAAGAATCCATTTTCAACATCAGTCACCAATAATTTCCCTACTCTTGCCCACATGCTTTCTGATCTCTTTTTCATAAAAGTAAGGGACAACCTCTTACCCAGAAGTTTGACATAAACCGATTGATGCCATAGACGTCACGTTCGCTTCTTAAATTCCTTTGACAGTAGGAAATTGGTCCGCCCATCTTTATCCACTTCGCAAGTGACCTCCGGTAAGCCCTTACCCGCTTCAGTTTCCATTTCTTCTTGATTACCCTATTCCTCATCCTGGATTGCGTCCTCCATTGGCCATTCCCCATTATGCCGCAAGACCATTTCTTTGAGGGACTTTCTCCCCTCCTCCCGTGGTTTCAAAATCTGATCATTGCTAAAGGAGCCTTCACCCCTCTTTTTCTTGCGATTAGATCTGTGGAGATTATCCACTTCTTCCACCGATGGCACTCCCTTTTCCGGCAACGACATTCGACGGCACAACAAACCCTAACACAGCAACCCCTTTTTTTTTTTTTGTAATCATGTAAACTTAAAATCAACTAAGCTGTCACAACTTGAATGTTAAATTGATATATACATATATATATATATATATATATATATTTGTTTACAAACTATACTAAGTATGACTGGTCATACTTTAATCATGCAGTGTACGACCGGTCGTACTTAGTGTAATTTGCAAAAAAGTTTGTAAACGAATCCTATCATATATATATATATATAAGAGATCATTTGACTTTCTTTCCAACTTAAATGCTGATTTATGTCCATCCAACGGTCTATGAAGCACTGACACTTCAAAAACCCTAACGTGTCATGTCTGACACTTTTCGACACTCTGACACTCCAACACGCGTTATAAAAGTTCAAAGGTTGCGTTGTGTTTAGTTTTTAGTTTCAACTATTAGATTCGTTGGATTACGATTATTATTTTATCGAGTTTAATATAAATATTTGGGATATCTTATGTTTCTTTGCAAAATTGATGAATATTATAAGTTTAGTTTCATTTTTTGTTAAATTATTGAATATTAAATATAATATACACTACATAAATTAAAAATGTTATTTAATATCAAAATGTGTCCTAACGTGTCGAAATCTAACATTTTTTAGAATTAACGTATCGGAGTGTCGTATCGTGTCGTGCCACGTGTCGGTATCGGTGCTACATAGCCAACGATTATAGTTTAGGAAGTTATATTAATTAATTGTTAATTACACTATAAATGACAACCGTTGATTTTCGTCCATCAACGACTGAGATGGGGAGTAAGACGGAGTCAAAAGAACCTTCTTCATATATATATATATATATATATATATATATATATATATATATATGGCTTATCGTTTCTCAAGCTGCTTGAGATAATCTTATCTCCGGCTACTAAATCATAACCGTACAAAGATGGATCAATGGTGATAAAGGAAGAGAGAGAAAAAGGGAATCATAACTATTCAAAGGTGAATCAATTGATATAAGAAAATACATAAATATAATGACGTAGTTTTGGGGTAGCCGGAGATGAACTTATCTTAAGCTGCTTGAGAAATATTTTCCCCGTATATATATATAGATATATATTATATCGGTGTCGATGTGAAATTAAAATGTTAAACATCAAATTTTAATTGTTTATTTTGTAAATCAAACGATTATAATTTATTGGGTCACACTTATTAATTAATTATCAATTCTCAATAAATTATAATTGTTAGATTGAGGAAAATCAAAGATTAAAATTTTATATCAAGCTTTTTAACTTGACACAGATGTTAAAAGATCGATTCACATATATAGTTACATCAGAGTTCGAGTTATTTTGTAATTGGTAAAGCAAAATTAAAATTTTCACAATTTAATTTTTAATTTATAATTGATGACTTTAGTCTTTTTATTTCATTTTTTTTTTGCAATAAAGAAATATTTTAAAATTTATTAATTTTTACAAGTAACTTAATCATTTAATAATAGATTTATCAAGGTATACAATGTTATTGAATTTTCAGAATTTCCTATGCATTATCAGACTTTTGAACTTAATCTCAATTTTAAAAATCCAATTTTCAAATTACAAAGAATTCTTGTTTTCTCATATTTGCATTGTGATGTTTACCCGCGGGCTAGCAAGTGCGGAACCCGAGTAGAGATTGTACAGGCCCATTAAAAACGCGAATTACATTTGGGTAAACGCTGCGTGTTAGGGCAACCAGAGCGGGAAAAATGAAGAAGCCATATATACATATACCATACAATAGAGGAAGTAGGAGTGAGTCTACAAGAGATGGCGCCAATCCTTCAAAGCTCTCAGCCATGGGTTGAGAAATAGTAACAACTTTTTCTTTCTCAATTTTAATTTATTACTTCTCTATTTCCTCTATCTCTTATTTTCGCAATTCTAATTTTCAATCACAATCGTATGTCTCAGCCGGCCAAAGCAAGTGAAAGACGTTGCTCACCAAGACGAAGTTGTTCGAGTACTCACAAACACCCTCGAAACCGGAAGCGTAATCACAATTTCTAAATCCCTCTTCTTCTTCTTATACTTCTCAAGATATCTAATTCAATCGCTTCGATCTTGTGTTATAGTGCCCTCACATGCTCTTCTATGGTCCTCCCGGCACCGGAAAAACCACTACCGCACTTGCAATCGCGCATCAACTTTTCGGGTAACGTAACCTAACCTTGTTTAATGTTGTGCAAATAGACCTCTTAAGTGTCTTCAAGTACCTTTAATTCATTTCCTAATATAAATTACAGGCCTGAACTCTACAAGTCTAGGGTGCTGGAGCTTAATGCAAGTGATGACCGTGGGATTAATGTTGTTCGGACTAAGATTAAAGATTTTGCTGCTGTGGCTGTTGGCACTCATCAGCGTAAGAAGTATGCAAAAAATAAATAATCGAATCCTCTTTTGAGGCTGTTGTTCTTTCTTTCTCCCTTCTATGTCTATTAGATTTGTTTAACTTACTCTCTGTTTTCGTGTTCTGATATTTCAGTGGTTATCCTTGCCCGCCATATAAGATTATTGTTCTAGATGAGGCAGATTCAATGACTGAAGATGCTCAGGCATGTTTTCTGTGTTTTTCATCCCTAACTTTGCTTGTTTTTTTTTTTTTTCTTCATAAAGTGCTATGGTTTCACACCACCTGCAATTTGGTGTGCAGAATGCTTTGAGGCGTACGATGGAAACTTACTCTAAAGTTACGAGGTTCTTTTTTATATGCAACTACATTAGCAGGTACCTTGTCTTCCATGATACTATTTACTGATTACTTTCTTTGGTATTTTTAATCTCACGTCTTTAAGGAGTCAATGAGAATTAGAGTGGCCATGATAAGCATGATTTTGATCAATTGGGTACATGTCCAATGTTTTCATAGGTATAAGGTCCGATTCTGATGGATATCTTTCTTTGTGTTGAACTTAACTAAATATTTTTACTGTTTTGATTGTTACATCATTTTTTTTCCAACCTGCAAGAAAATTACTAGGATATCTTTATTTGTTTTTTGGGTAATTACCACACTAATATCATCCTCAAACAGTGAGGATTTCCCTCTTTGTAAGTTTCATGTCAAGCCTGTTAATAAATAATAATGCTAAAATAATTTTTGATATAGTCTTTTTGTCCTTTGTCCATGTCAATGCTTTATCAAGGATTGATGGTACATTGATTTTATACGTGACAAGGTTGTCATTTTTTGTAGGATTATAGAACCACTTGCTTCAAGGTGTGCAAAATTCAGGTTCAAACCGCTGTCAGAAGAAATTATGAGCAGCCGAATATTATACATCTGTAAAGAAGAAGGACTCTATCTTGATGCTGAGGTGGGAGCCTTAGAGCTTATATAGTGGTAGTGTTATTCTTAATGGTTTCAACCCTTTGTCTATAGAGTTTTTGTTGACATCATAACAAATTATTTTAAATGCCTTTGCTTCCATAGGCTCTTTCAACCCTGAGTTCTATTTCTCAAGGAGATCTTCGTCGGGCTATCACATACTTGCAGGTGAGAGATGTTTCCTGATTAACATAGTAGGTCTTCGTGGGTAATTTGTTTAACTGAGCCAGTTTCCTTTGAATAATCTGTGTGTATATATCTTTGATGCCTATGATTCGAACTTATTCTGATTGACTCCACCAAACTAGTAACCAAGTTATCTGTGTTAATAATGCTGTTTTTTAGGAAATAAGTAATGTATATAAAACTGTTATTTTTGGTAATGATCCTAAGATAGATTGTTCTGGTGTTGGCAGTTGTTTGATTGTAGGAATCTATGCTTTCACTTTTTATGCTTTTCTAATGCTGGCTCAATGATAAAATTCAATGAAAGATGATACGCGGAGAGTCCATATTACCAGGCTGATAGGAGGGGAGAGCCTCTACGATTAATGGGAGTTATTTGATTGTAGGAATGTATGCTTTCATCTTTATTCTTTTCTAATGCTGACTCGGGAATAAATTCAATGGGAAGATGATGTAGTGGAGAGTCTACCCATGCCAGGCTGATAGGATGGGAGAGCTTCTACTTGAAATGGGAGCTGTGTCACACCAGCCGATAGTGACTCATGCTGTTAACTTAAGAATCATGTTTTCTGATAAAACTTGGTAGAAGAAAGGTGTTACGGCCACTTATTTGCGTCCTGCTCCATCCTTTAGGAAATATTTTCAAATGAGCGTTCAATTAGTTCCATGTAGATTTTGCTTTAACCTTTCATGCATAACTAATTTATTAGAATAAAATGGAATTCTTTTATGCACTATAGTTGGATACAAATGTTGCTATCTCCAAATAATGTTATTTTTTTTGTTAAATCAAGGCAATCTTAAAGTAAAAGGGACTTTATGCTTTATGATTTTACTTTCTATTTCTGCATTTGTGTTAATTTCTTCTTCAACAACAATGTTGTCCAAGCTTTAGTATATGGCATCTATGTATATCCTAGTTATTATTTGAACTAACACAGTATTAATGTTGCAGTCAGCTGCTCGCTTATTTGGATCTTCCATTTCTTCAAAGGATCTGATTTCTGTGTCTGGGGTAGGTTGTGGCACTAATTTCCGGTGGCATGTTCTGTTTCTATTTTCAAAGGGAGCTAAAATATACATTTTAAAGTTGTTTGCATGTCTGATAATGCACATTCTAAGACTTAATGATTGACATAATTATTAGCTAAAGGGCAAGGGATTTGAGTTGCAGTTTGACTTTATTCTTATTATAAAAAATTTCCTTTCTGGCTTTGTAAATTATATGGATAAAAAGTTTTTTCACCGGTTCTAATAGTGTTGTGCCATGATATATATAAGTTCACATCATTGCAGTCTTTTCTGGTCGGCTCAATTGGTTAGCCCAATAAGATAGACCCAATATCAAGGGTCCAGATCACCTCAACCATAACCAACTCTGTTGTGCCAGCGCTGCCACCCATTGCACTGCTATCAGACATCCCAACGTAAGACACCAAATTGTCTTGCGTTGGGGCACTCTCTCCTCCCCTCTTGCCTCCTCGGGCACCAAAATAAACTCTCCCCTCTCATCCTGCCCTTCCTAGCAGCTGTTGTCAGCAGTTGCAAAGTGCCTTGCCTCTGCAAGGCCAGGCTACGTTGGCTATTACCTATAATGTGGTTGATTTGGCTCACTCACCCATTTGATTGGAACCTATAAATACCACCCCCCCCCCCCCCCACACCCCCGGCGTCCATTTTCCACCATGAACACACACAATACCACTGTTTTATTAGCCGTTACTCTATCAACTTGGAGAGCTATTGTAGCCATTCAAACACCACCCTCATGGATACACACTGCAACTGCACCTGGGACTTCTTAATATAGTCTTGGTCTATACCATTGCTGTTAAGGGCACCTCTATAGCGATCATTACACCCTTCGCGGTTACATACGTGGCTCTCTTGCCTCACTAACGGTTCACAGTCTATGCCATTTTGTGAAATATTGAATGTCGACTGATATTGCTTGAAGTGGCTTCCTATGTGGTGGTATCTTCTATTTTGCTGTGTACCACCTTTTTGCATGATTAACTGATTTTCAATTTAAATTGGTTGTGTTTTTTGCGACATAATTTATGGTTATTTTTATGACAATGGACCACTTTTTTTCTCTCCCTTCCTGCTTGTCTTGACTTTCTAAAATATCAATATATCAGGTTGTTCCAGCAGAGGTTGTGGAGGCACTTCTTAAATCATGCAAAAGTGGTAATTTTGATTTAGCCAACAAGGAAGTCAATAATTTCATCGCAGAGGGATATCCAGCCTCTCAGATGCTAACTCAGGTCTTTTTTTGCCAGTTTCATCCTGGAATTCTTGTCAATAACCGTGCTTGCCAAGTTAAGCCTTTTACTGCGGAACTGATTTAATTTTTTTTCCAGTTATTTGAGGCCATTATTGAAGACGACATATCAGATGAACAGAAGGCAAGAATATTCAAGAAGCTGGGTGAAGCAGATAAGGTTACATATGACGCTTTAGTAATTAATATACACAATAATCCTCCATACCTTTTCCTTTTCCTGCTCCTGGATATGATTTTAACGCACAATTCTTTTTTCTGTTGGCTTTTTTAATAGCTTCATGAGTTTGCTTAAATGCATATGCCTATGTTGGGTACAATTCTTAGTTATTGCTTGTGGAATTGCAGTGCCTAGTTGATGGTGCTGATGAATACTTGCAGCTTCTTGATGTGGTCAGCAATACCATGCAAGCTTTTTGTAACATGCCAGAAGGATTTGCATACGAAGGTTAAATATTATATAGTCGGCATGTTAAATCCGGAGGGTCAATTATTCTGCTGCAAAGAAAAAGAAACTCATGAAATTCTGTATAATGAAATCGGACTTGGGCTCCGTTGTTAACTTGCTTTGTGTAGAATTGAATTTTGAAAAATTAATCCTCGGTAATTGCACTCAAGTAACAGGTCCATTAAAAGCAAGTCTTCTAACATAGGACATTCTTAACTACAAACTTAAGGCTGCAGCTGGGAAAATCAATATATAACGGGAGAATTTTGCTGTTTCTGCACTAAAATATTTAAAAGAAAAAATATTTCAGCACTTACTGCATATAAGTTATCTGCATTTATTTTCAAAAAGACATGATATTAAAATCTTAAAAAATTATGAATATAAATACTATTATAACCTTGAGATAAATTAAAAATACAAAAACATTATGATTTCTGTTCTAAAACGATGTCATATTGGACTTACTGCATATAACTTATATGCAGTAATTAGAAAAGGCGAATCCATATTTAAAACAGTTATTATGCACTGCCCTTTCCTTTCAAGTCCTTACTTCTAAAAGTGTTATCTCAGAACGAATTCAATTCAAATTTTGAATTTTTTAGTTCAGCTGCAATTTATTTCGTTTGCGTCTTGTTGATTTAATAATTTTATCAGAACAGAATTTGGTGAAAATAAAATTACTATCTAGAATCATCTTAAACTCTACAGTTAATAATCACAATAGCATTGAGCCAAGGTATTTATCTTGTATTTCCAGTTTTGTATTTCTAATGTTCACATGCCCATGAATAATTCATGAAAATATTGTTCCATTTAGATAATACAAGTCTGTGTATTTATCTTGTTACTGTCTTTTTTTTTTTTTTCGAATACTGTTACTGTCGTTTTTTCTCTCATACAGATGGATATAACATGCATGTGGCCTGTTTGTTACTCAGGAAAATTATTTCGTAACTGTATGATTTTATGAAGCTTTTAATTAATTGAACGGTCAGAACGAGGAAATAATAAGCATGCCGAAGATTATTTCCCTCAGGAAGCAGTAATTGCTGAAAATGAGATCCATAAGTATTCTTTTGCCTCATGATAATGTTCAAGAACATTAACATTATTCATTAATTCTGGTCTTGCATGACAATATTATTATGAGGCATTGAGACTGTTCTAGTATTCATAACCTACAACTAATGTCATTGTTCGGCCTGCCTGGCATCGTCTTACTCAAGAGTCTAGTGGTGCCAAATAGAACTTCCTTTTCCCTTTCAAGTACGAGAAGCGCTTAAATTTGTCCCTATGAAAATGATTACACGTGGTTCAGCACTTCAACTTGTCCCTTTGAAAATGAACCGTTAAATGTCTATTCTTGCGAACCATGTAGAATCTTATTTTCTGGATTTGTTTACCTTTACGGTAAAAAATTTTAATTTATATTCATTATGCGAATGTTGTTAACTTATTTGTCCTTGGTTATTTGAAACACGTTGACTATCTCTTTCCATTTTATTAAAATTAGTTTTATTTATCATTAATTCATTTTAATAAATTAATTCACCTAATTAGAAATCTGTGAAATTGGTTTGTCATTAATGCAAATTGGAATAAAAGTATAAGTAATTTATTGTTATTCTATCAATTTTCGTGCTTGTAATAATACATGTATGTAGGAGATAGGTAATTGCTCCCTTCTGAGCAATCAAGAAGCTAGCATAGAAGCAAGTTCTATGTCTTCACAAGCTCAAACGGTGCTTGTGATGAAAAAGCAAATCCGTTGAAGGCTGTGGCTTAGCCAAAAAGCCAAGAAGAGAATACTTTAGAAATATTAAAAAAAATAGAAGAGATATTGAACGCACAAAAAAAGATCAGACAGCTAGTAGAATCTGAAAAAGATAAAGGAGAAGAAGACATATCTTCACCAATTTCTGGAGACTCCATAGAGACAATTGGAAGACAGAACGTAGAGGACAGAGCCTAGCATTAGACCCTATGGGAATTTTGTCAGAAGAAAAGCAAGTGTTGGCAGAAATTATAACCACAGAAAGTATCAAGAGAATCCTAAATAGTGAATGTCGGCAGGCTATTTTGTAATTATTAGTGTCGGCAGGGTTATGAAATATTGAGTTTTTCTTTTTAAGAAAAAAATTAGGTTTGTCAAAGATTCCTTCTTTTCAACCTGAAGTATCGATGGGGCCCAATGAGCACCCGACTCAGAAAAGAAGAGATTCTCCATTGTATTTTAATTTCGTGTTTCAAGTCCGGTCTATAAATAGATGTAGTATTCAGTTGTAAAATATATCGAGTGAAGTGTGTGCAAGTGTTCTGTGTTGAAAGTTCACAATGTGTCTGTAATCCATCTTCATTTGAAATAAAAGTGTTTTCATTTCTGAAAAAATAATTCTGCTCTTCATTTCTCAGTTCTTTTAGAAGTCTTTCGGGGATTTTCGAAAGGGAAATCCTTCTCCTTTCCTAAGGTACTATCATGTCTTCTTAAAACTTTTTATTTTAAGCCTTTGTATATTCTTCTCCTTGTTAGTTTCTCTTATGTATATATCATATTTTCTCATAATATAAAATGGGTTAGGTAGTCTTGCCCCGTCTAGTATGTTTAACTATTCACCACCCTAGCGGAGCCAATAAGTGACCTGCATAATGGATTAAGATAATGATTAGGTCCATGTAGTTAGGATAAGTGAACAGTAACATAAACTTGCGGATATGATGTAGAGCCTAACTAAAAAAAAAAAGTCTAGAATCAGAGCATGGTAAATAATAGTAAATAATATTTACTATTGATTTTTAAAATTGTTGCACTCACCAATTCATAATTAATGAATCAATATTTCATATGAGGTTTTACTTTACTCAAATATGATAAGCTATTAGTTAATTTTAGTTGTAAGACATACCATAAAAATTCATTTCCGGAAATAATGCACACAAACGCGCATCTTATTTTATAAGTAATTTCAATGCACCTAAAATTTTAGAATCTCATTTTTGATGATTTTTCATTTTATGTCTTACCTGTAAAATTATTTGTAAAACAAAGAGGTCTGTTTGTATGATTGATGAAGAGACACATTAATTATGGATCTTCTAATTTAACATGATTTTATTTTATGTGCTACACTTAAAATTTAATTTGTATAATTAGTGAATTAATTACATAGAGTGAATTAATAATAATAAGCCAAATCTAATTCTAATAATATGTGAAGGAAACATATGCTGCCACATAAGGGCAGAGATCCTCTAAGGGTTAACGTATTTTTATTATACTAGAACAGAAACTAAGTTAGACACAACAACTATAAAAGGTATAAACTTAAAAACTTCGACAAAAAAACCCGATTTTAAACAATTTTTTTTTTCGTGAATATTATCAATTGACTATCATCCTTTGAGGCTGCTATAATAAAAATCATAACCTCGAACATTCAATTGATGCATTGATTGGGGACTCTTTGGCTTATAAGAGACAAAAAGTAACTAAAAATTAGAGAAATTCACGTCCGCTGAAATCGGAGCGATCATTCTTTTCATTTCAAATCCTCACAAGAAAAAATAACACAAAGAGTATATAGGTCCAAAATCTCATTTCTCAAAAGACGATTCAATCTTAAATTTGATATAAAAAAGTCCAAAACACAAAGCTTAGTCACATGGCATGTACTTTGGTTTTCTAATAACGGGAACAAAGTCAACAGCTACTCATATCAAAATGGACCCGTAACAACAAGTGTGGGTCAATCAAGATTCAAGAGTCCCCACTAATCCATCCCTTTAATTTCGCTATTCAGCATATAAATGCACCTTAGTGCTCACAACAACATGCCACACACAAACTAAATGCTTTAGTTTTATGTTTTTTGTTTAAAAAATAGGTTTAGGATACTAAAATTGAAAACAATGAGTGAGAATGATGATTCATTCAAGAAGGCAGGAGCAGTTCCATTCAAATGGGAGATAAAACCTGGGCTCCCCAAAGCCCAACTACAATTCAACCACCAGAAGCCGCGTTTTCTGTCACCGGAATCGCCGTCATTGAAGCTGAGGCCGCCGCCGGTAGGGCAGTACCCATTTTATTCGATGGAGACCCGGAGCCAGTCCTTCCGGTCTACTCCAAGGATCCGGTCTGAGCGATTGCGGTTCGACCGGTCCATTCTTCTTCGAACCGAGAGCGTGTCTTCTACTACGAGTTGTTTCTTGTCGCCTTTTCTTAAGCGACTACTTAGGAGGAAGAAGAAGGTTCCGAAGCAAGTGGTTGAACCCGATTATACATCGGAGCTAGAAACGCTTCCTCGGTGGTCCTTGTCGTCGAGGAAGTCTTTCTCGCCGTTCCGGATCTCAACGTCGTCGTCTTCTGTGGCGTCGTCGCCCCGACCCGTGAGCGATGCTGAATGGGCCGGGTTCGGTCTTTTTTGAAAAGCTAATGTGTTTAGTCATTTTCGGTTTTTATCTTTTGGGGTTTACGTGTGTGTAACTTTTTTTTTTTTTTTTTTGTAAAACGTGTGTGTAATTGGAATCGCACATAATTTTCTTTTCTTCTTAATGGAAAAGGGTCATGCTTATGCTTGTTGGTGTAAATATATATCATTTGCGAATATTGGAATGATCATTGGCTTTTTAGTGAAAAAAAGTGTCTTTAACCTGTATTAATTCTTATGGTTTCGCGTCTCTTTGGATCTCTGTGCTCTCTGTTTTCTAGTAATTTCTTCTCAGTTTCAACTTTTGAATTGAGTTGTACTTTATGTTAAACCGGGACATTACAGGACACACATTATAATATTAAATAATATTTTAAATTTATATAATGTGTATTATGTTTAAGATTTAATAATTTAAATAAAATGATATAAATAAATTTAAAATATCTTAAATATTTATATTAAAATAAAATAATAATAGTAATCTAACGAATTTAATACTTAGAAAAAAAAATGTAACGTAACATAGTTTTTGAATTTTTTTTGAATTTCTTCAATATGTATTGAACTCTTCAATGCCTATTGACGTATCTGAAAGTATCAAAAAAATGTCCATATCATATTTTTTAAAGCATCGGGACAATCATAGACTATACCTGACAATATCGTCTATTTGGATCTACGAATGTTGGTGCGTATTTCAATTGATTAAAATATATATTTACGACCCTTTTTAATTTAATCCTTTTAATTATTTGTAAGATAAAGTTGAAATATCACGTGTTTATTCTAAAATCACTTACTTTTTAATTTTTTTTATTGTGGTTATTTTTGTACAAAGTTCACCTCAACTTTGGTGAAAGTTATATAAATGGGGTTTCATTTTCTCATGCATGTTGCATGAAAATTGAATTCTCATGTTGTGACTCAATCAGTAGTGGATCTCACATTTACTCAATCAGTAATGGATTCCACATTTATTAAGAAAAAAAAATGCACGCAAATCGAAAGATCACAATATGATAATTGAATTATCATGCAATGCAACGAGAAAATGTTTTCCCTATATAAGTTATCTATTTTGCTACATAAACAATAAACTATACACGAGAATAACAAGAGGCTCAAGAAGTCAGGATTGGGTCAAGAATTCAAGATGAAAAAGAAGACAATATTGGTTTTGTAGATTTGCATATTTGTCTTGGGGTTTAATATTTTAATAACGTGTATTTTTATTCCATGAACAATAAACTACCTATGAGAATTGGTGGATATAATGTTGATTTTGTAATTCTAAATCCTTAAAAATTAATAAAATGATTTGGATTGTATGCTGTGATCGATGAGGTTGTTTAGAGTAAACCATATAAGGATTTTTGAACTTTACTGTTACTGTTAGTTTTGTTGTTTGTTTAGTTGTTTTCTTTCTATCGTTACGTGGTTGTGTATTTTCCAAGTTGGTAGACAGGAATGAAAAATAGTTAGCAAATAGGTGTAGTCGTCCGTAGTAGTTGGAGATATTTTCAAGGATTTTTTATTTATTTATATTTCACTTATAATCTCTGTATTTAAATTCATTTTGAGTTGAATATAATATAAAAGAAAATCATTGTTTCATTTTACACGAAATAACTGTCTGATATTTTCTTTACATAAAAAGTTGTGCTATCATTTTTTATTTTAATGAGTGATGGATCCCACCACATTATGTGTTTATAATAGGAAATACTTATCTTTACTAGAGAAATAGAACTCTAATATAAAGAACAATTTATCCAGCACTTATGCATTCACGCAGGGTCCCTTAGCTAAACTCAAATTCCCTTATCAAAAGGTACCAAATGTATGTGAATCATCCTGTTTCTTCCAGAAAAAAGTGTGACTTGTATTAATTGATTGTGTTATTCTGAATAGAAAAGATACAATCTATCTTGCTGAATTTGATCTTTGGATTGAAAAGTTCAGTTTTTCAAGGTCGAGATGAAATCTACTACATCTACCCATTTCGAACCTTCCTTTCAGATCAGATGTGTATGTGATGATCCTTCTACTTATTAACCAGTTCATAGCTATTGGATTTCTGTGACTCCTAAGGAGGTTGTTTTCAGTTTTATTTCTTTCTATTGTAAAAAATTAAAAATGTATGTTTGTTTAAATATATATTTATTTTCCGTTGTTGCCTCTTTCTATAGGCTGTTCTCATTGTAGCTTGGCTCTCTGTTTTTCTTCAGCCATAGACCGAACACTAACAAAATGAAATTAAATTGACATACAGTTATCATAAACTGTATTGCATTTAACGTGCCACTGGTCTAAAATTCTAAATGCTTTTGCTTAATCTAGATCCCTACAAAAATGAACTATGGAGCAATGAAACATTGTTACACCTTTTTATAAGTAATTAGAGAAGCTGAAACAATGAAACAATGCACCGTATATGTGTCATTTTGTTGCTGTTTTCATTCCCATTACCATTGGCAGCTCATAGTAAGTGTTCCGGGTAGGGCCTGGGCCCTGTGGCCCAGGTTACTCTCGGCTTAGGATCTCCAGGTATTCATGTGCCATGGGACAGGATATGAGCCTACCTCGGCCCACCAGCCCGGGACGTAGGTCTACGATCATTTTTTGGACAAGCTGGAAACGTTTCTAACCTTTCTGTGGTGGAATTCTCAAATGACAGACAACATTGCGTCTGTCCGTTTGCACGAATCATTGTAGCATTGGGTTGAATTTATCTGTTTCAATGGATTTTTTGGTTCTTTTAGTCTAGATGACAGTTCTGTCCTTCATTGTATCTAACATATTTCCAATGTTTTTACAGAAATTATGACAGAAATCTTTAGACATTGAAATTGAATGGAGAACTTGTGTCTTTTATTTTATTTTATTTTGTAGACCATTTGCAATGATAGCACTACATCAGTACATTGAGAATGTGTGTAATAGCTCTTGATCATTTGCTTAGTTGAATTTGTCTAGTTTGAAATCCATGACCAAAATACCTAATAATTATAATTTTAATTTACTAAAATTTAAAAATAAATATATTATTTTTTATAGACCTTAAAGAGAAATTTTTATTTTCAAATTTTTATACGGACACGGTGGAGCAACCGAAGAATTGAGCACTCAATTGGTGGCGAAGCAGCAAACGCACAACTAGAGCTGTCAAAATGGGTCAGCCCGACCCATTTAGCCCTAGTCCATGTGGGTTAGGGCCAAAAAGCCCGCAGGGTCAAAAAGCCCACAATGGTATAGGCCCACATGGGCCAAAAGCCCTAAGGGTTAGGGCTAGCCCATGGGCCTTCCAAAAATTTAATATGTATTTTTTTGTTTAAAAAAAATTCATATTTGATATAGCAATGTATCTCAAAAGTCCTTACCTGCATTAAAAATAGATTAAGGAGCAACATTTTCTCATATAAAAAAAAAGTGACAACATATTCTCATAGATTATTGGAACACTAATGAAAACAGATTTTATAGTAATGCAGAGGAAACTAATCTTATATAAAATGACTTGTGTGATCCATATGGGGCAGCAGATTACAATAAGATGTCAACATTGTAACAAAGAAATTAAATGACTAAATCTTCAGAATACCAAGCATTAAGTGAAAAAAGTTAGCATACTTTCCTACAAACTGAATCAAGGCAACAAAATATTCTAATTACATGCATTTCCAGCATTGCTGTCAATGTAAATATTCAAGAATGGAGGCATTGCTATCAATGTAAATTCCAAGCATTGCTGTCAAAAAGTTCAAGAAATTCAGCTGTCATATACTCAAGAATGTATGCCAAATATACAGCAACAGCAGTGGCCTCAACTTTGCGGGATCAATTCTGCACAAAATCAATGTAAATACTAAATATCATCACAATTAAATCAATTAAGCTCAACCTACACATAATCAATGGATCTAAACTATAAATTTCGACTAGCTACTAACAGAAATACCTCTCTAATCTTCAATTTGAACTTCTTGATGCACATTGGCTTGTGATGTTGTTGTTTCATGATCACTAGTATTAGAATCATCTTCATCTAAAACTCATAACCAATTGAAACAAAACTACTAAATTAGACAATCAATCCCTACATAACCAAGCAATATTAAAATATTAAGCATAATAACTCAAAGCATTACCATTAAGATTCTCGAGAAAACCATGCAACCAATTCCTAGTGCAAATCAACATTTGGACATTTTCAGGAAGAGTGGAACTTCTATATTTGGTAAGAACACGCCCACCGATACTAAAAGCCGATTCTGATGCCATTGAAGTAATTGGAATACTTAACACATCTCGGGCCATAATAGAGAGTGTCAGAAATCTATTCTCACTGTGCTTCCAATAATTAAGCACGTCAAAATCCTCCCCATCACCATATTTAGCTTTTGGTTCATCCAAATAAAGATTTAATTCACTCTTACCACCAACAAACATACTTTCATTCTCAAACCTTTCAAACTCCTGCAAAATTTGATATATCAATTATATAAATGAAACAACAATGAAAAAAAATGACTAAATTAGCACGAAAGAACTTACACTTATGTATAATTTTGATTTTTTTGACCTATTGCTTTCACCACTTGACTTGTGCAAGAGATTGGATTTGATGGATGAATGAGAATTAGAAGCACTTGATCCTTTGAGATTGCTCGCATATTCTTCATATAGCTTCTCAAACTTTTCTCTTATATTTTTAACCTTATTTTGGGAGGTAAATGGATCAATTTTTGTGTAACAAAAGCCTAAGAAAACAAGCTTCAAATGCGGGTCAAGAATAGCTCCAAAAGCTAAAACTGTACTATGTTCCTTCCAATATTTGTCAAACTTCTCTTTCATCCTCAGTGACATCTCACTTAAAGTATAATCATCATTATACAAGTTTTCGTTCAGTATGCACTCAATCTTCCAAACTTGTACAAAGTATAAGTTAGAGGTTGGATAAGATGAACCTGAAATCATGTTTGTAGTCTCGTAAAA